CTCCTCGCAGGGAGTCAGTGCTGGTGAGTCGAGCTGCTTCCAGTTCTCCTTGGAGATGATGGTCCAATCCGAGGCTGTGTCCATCTGGAGCCTGAGCTTCTTGCCTTCGATAGTCGGTTCAACGAACTTGCGAGCAGCAACTGACATTACAGAAACCTTGTTGCTTTGGTTGTTCGTGCCTCGCGGGTAACGAGTTTCCACGTATTTCTTGAAATCGGCCCATGATCCGCAGTAACCCTCCTTGTGGTCGTTCTTCTTGCAGTGACCACATTCCTTTCCCTTGAAAGGACAGTCTCGGTGACGATGCCAGGCTCCGCAAGCACGGCAGGGGGATTTGGGCTTGTTTTCGACGTTTGGTTTCGTCGACTTGAATTGTTTTGATGGTTGCTTGTTCTGCACTGCCATCACTTCGGTTTGGGGCGTTCTCGGGTCCGTGATTGAGACGTTCTGCTCCTTAGCCATGTCGATGGCGTTGATGTGACCGATCATGTCGTTGAGCGTAAGCTTAGCTGGGACTGCACGATCTGCACCTGCTGCTGCTTCTGCCACTGCCCCTTCACGTGTCATCTCTTCAGCGTTCAATTTCACTAGAAGTTTCTCTCGCATGTGAGACATTTCTGTTTTTAAGCCTGTCAGGAAAGTGAGTACCTTCAAATCTTCGATGGTGAAGTGTGGAAGGTCGAACTTGTTGCATTTGAGGTTGACACGATTTGCATATTCTTCGATGGTCTCCGATGGGCCTTGGTGGATTGTCAGGCATTTATAGCGGATTGAGAACTGCGAGTCTTTGCGGCCGAACTGTTGCTTCAGCGCTTTTACGGCGTCCGCGAACAGGACCGTGGCTTTGGTTGCCGGTGTGATTTTCGCCTTGAACTGCTCATAGTCGCACGTTGAGAGTTTTTGGGTTAGCAGCGATACCTTTTCTGCGTTCGTCATCTGAGCCGCTCCCGCGGTGAAAATGTCCTGCTCGTAACGCTCGTACCATGCCTCGAAGGTCAGATTATCTTCTGGGCAGTACACGAAATCCACCATTTGATCGG